CTTTTAAAATAATAATAAGGGGGTACCTCTCTTTTATAGCCAACATAAACCTAATCCCAATAGAAGCCTAACTTCTATGGACTCAGGATTAGTGCTAATCTTGGATTCCCAGTAAGATTAGGATAAACTCTCTAAGAGTCTTATCTTAATACAAACTGAAGTCTTCTCTCATTATAGAAAATCATAGAATCCGATTCATATACACACACATCATATTTATAACAAATAGATTAGGATTTAAGGCGAAGAGTAGCTTAATATTAGCCATCTAAATGTGAAATATATCGATCCATCAAACAATAGTAATCTGTATGTTGAGAGAAAACACAGATCAACACATGTAAATCAAATAGTAAGATCTAAACACAAATCTAAAGAAAACACATCTAAAACACAAAACACACATATATATATAGACGAGATGGAGACGAGAGTTGAGGGAAAGGAGGAGACGAGAGAGAGCCTTCATTTGGGAAGAGAGAGGGATGGGGGATATCAGTCGGTGAGAAAGAGAGATATATGTGCTCTTTTGGAAGCTGGTAAAAAACCAGCTTCCAGCTTTTTACCAATTTTGGGTCACATCACCTCTCATATAACTTATCCACAAAAAGATAAAATAAGTAAAAAAAGCCAAAAAGCCACTTTTTACAAACTTCCCAAAACACCCCTATATTTTACAATCTTTTAGGGGAGAGAGACAAAAGTAATGGAGAAGAGGAGAGAGAGTGGGTGTGAGAGAACTGAGAAGAGAGGGAGACAAGGTGGTAGGTGAAACGTCAATGTCTCTATACTCGGGAGAAGTGTTATTTGTCTTGGGAAGGGTTTTTTTTTTTATTAAAAACATATTTATATTTTGAGTAGTGGGTACGTTTATCTTAGCTCAGCCCCCACTAAAGTTATCAGTGTTCTGACGAAAGTAAATATATATTTGTATATAATTCGGTCGGTCGGTCAGTTATAATAATATTTTTTTTATTTCAGTTTGACCACCGACCGAACATAGATGACAATTTTCAAAATAGAACTACAGTCGACCGTTGAAGTGGTCGAAACTGTCTGTAGCCATAGCGGGTCAGGCGGGTGCGCGGTTAATTCGATTTTTTTGCACACCCCAAGATACATGATGGAGTCAAATGCTAACTGAATAGAAGTGTCACAT